CTATATATATATATATACATACGGTTTTGTTAGGCCAACCCAGTCCCAACTCAACCATGTTGTCCCGCCTCCTTGGCATCCACACTATCACAGTCTGAAGGTGGATCCAGAGGTGCCGGCATAGGTGGATCAGAATCGGTGTCTTGCTTCTCTTGCTTCGCCGCCCGCTCACGTGCAATCTCGCGTGGACCACGTGCTGAACTCACCTGAGCGCAGCGCAAAGTTATACATAGACAAACATCTGACTACTCTGAGAAGTATCATTTGTTATGGCAGTACATGTATATACAAAGAAGATTGGCAGTACATACATACATATATATATATATGCATGTCAGTAAACATATGTATAGGCATAGGTTTTGATGCAGATAGAATATTGCTTGATGCCACAGAGTCACTGAAACAGCCCCAAAAGCTTCATGTCGTACGCTTTCCGCGCCTCCCCTTGCAGCAATGCGTACGCTTCAGCAATCTGCTTAGCTTCATTTGAGTCCTTCTCCACTGATTCCATGGTACGGGCGTAGCAGTCATCGATATGCTGCTTAGGCACTGTGGACAGCTTCATAACTCGTTGTATTGGAGTGCTTCCTAGATCGCTAGGCCCCGGTGGCACTCCAAGCTGGTCATATGCGTCCACAGCATGGAACATGTTTGTGCAAAGGTACCACTCCGACATGGCGACGGAGATGTGACTATAACAGCAGTGCGCTGCAGAGTTGCGCGCGTGCACATTGTTGTTTGCTGCCTCGTTGCGTGTGTATAGCAGGACTGAATCATAGTATATATATATATATATACACAAGTAGTTTTCATAGTAGGATTGTAGCAGGATCAGTGTGTTTGCTGTCTATAGACATGCTTCAGCTGTGTTTAGGTTCGTGTTTTGGTGTTGTTTGCTTGAACATGCTAACAAAGTCAAGTTCTTTTGCTATATTCTATCTGCAATCAAACTCAATTGAATTAAAAAGGATTTTATATATATAATACACAGCAATCGTAGCTGCCAACTGTGCTGGCACACTACTTGGAACTACACCATGGACGACTGGCTGCATGAAAGACATGTTTGCTTGCACCTCTGGCTATGTGTAGTCCAACACCTATCTATACAGCGCCAGCCATCTTGGAGGCCGCCTTGCTTCATTTGGCTGCCGCTACCGATGGCACTTTTGACAAGGCAAAAGCTGTGATGCACGACCTTCCTGGTCCTTTACAAGATAGCACGAGGCCTCATGATACACCTTGCTGTTCTTGTAGTGGTAGATCATCCCAGGCTGGCTCGATCCATAGCATGTCTTCACACGCTTGTAGTTGACACAGAGCACCACGATCAAAGTTGCATTCACAAGCAGTGAAAGCGCTAGACCACCAAGAACCAAATACCCAAGCATTGCTGCAAGTGCGTATGCAAGGTGTGCTACACTTTTTGAGCAGCTGCCACGCACATCATTTTGCAACAAAGCAATTTGTTTGAATATCATTATTTACATAAATGTATATATATATACACACACCTATACATACATATACATACATAGCTTCTTTGAGTGCCGCTCATATTCTAACTCTTATACTCCCTCCGTATTCTAACTGCATCGTTCGAGCTGACCCGCAATTTTTTTGGGACATCCAGTTAGAATATGACTAATTAGTAAAATCTTAATTAGTCCATATTCTAACTGCTGCCAACTCACTATATATATATATATATTACTGCAGTATCACGAAAGTGCTGCAGGGGTGAGACAAGGGGTATCGCTAGTGATGTGCAACTGTTTTTGTCCCAGCAGCGTGTTGCAAATTTTTATTGCCTCTTCAGTCGATCTTTTGGCCCTAAAACAGGGTCCATTTTCTACCCACCAAAGCGGGGCCGTCACTTCTTCCGAAAGCTACCGCCTGCCAGATTTGGGGCCCAGTTTTGGGGACCATGAAGCTGCGCAAGTACAACAGCGTAAATTGACCAATCCGGAATTCTGACCGTTTTCGAGAATTTGTGGGCTCCATAGGGCCATAGGGCAACGCGGCGGCAACATGTGTGAGTTCGATTGACGCACACACACACACACACCACACACATTGGGAAGGGTATTGAGGAGAACTTTGGATAAAGATGTCAAACCTCCTAAGCCCACTACCTGCGATGTACAAGGAACGGGCGACACCTTTGGTTCCGATGGACCTGAAGTAAAACTTAAACAGCCTGGCATCTAGCAGGTACACGGAGGTGATCAACCTCCGCCCCCCCCCATCGTGAGCAGCTTCGTTGGCACAGGTGTCCACGAGGGGCCTGTGCCCCCTGCTTCAGATAGTGAACAAACTCACCGCGTGTAATAGCGGTTTTCACACACAAGGCGCCCCCAAGACATGTCTCAACATCAACTACAGAATGGAGCGTTGTTTTTGAATGCTCTTGTACCTTAACCGCAAACCGTGCCTAGACCTAGACGTCGGCAGCTTATGATGGCCGGTATATGGCACATCAAATTAATGATCATGTCCACTGCATGAATCAAGGCACTGGGGCAGAATCGCTGCCAAAGCAAAAATCTGGCTCAAGATGGCTCAAGTCACAAAGGAATATCCAGCTCTTGTCTCGTGTATTGTGAAATGTTGTGAAGAGCGTCATAGTACTCAGCTGCGGCAAATCCGCCGCGCATTGGCGCTTTTGGAACAGGGCCCCGGCTGATGTGCACATGTGCGCGCGGACAAGGAGATGAAGGCATGAAAGGAGGACACGACAAGACGAGTGTATGTGGTTGCTATGAAGGAAAAAGGAGCCAAGTGCACAGGGACAAGTGATGAGCCAGACCTCCTTGTAACAACCTGGGCGACCTGAAGCCTGGATTCCGTGCACGAGTGCACGAACGTGCTAAGGGCCGGACACATGTGTGCGCAAAAGAGAGAAACAGAAAGAGATGATATGACCAGTCACGAAGGCAGAAAAAACATGAAAAGAAAGAGGAGGAAATGTATGTGGAGGGGAGGTTGAAAAGGGGAAGGGGCCGAAACCACATCAAACCAAACCTCATTGCAGCAAACCTCGGAGAACCTCGCCTCGTTTTTGCGTGAGCGTGCTGTGTGTGTGTGTGCGCACCTGACGTAGGCCCTGCAGGAGCCCAATAATTCCCTGCTTTCCCGAAGGTTGCCGAACGAAACAGTTGCGCTCGAGGCGAGCTCGTGAATGGCTTCTAGAAGCCACGAGTTATGCCCGAAGCAGATAGTACCGTCACTACTGACAGTCGGGGTCCGCCATGGAGGCCTTCGATTATTTTACAAGGTCGTGCCATCTTGAAAGTCACCCGCAGGTGCTCGACTCGAGGGTGCCGCCGGTCTGGCATGCACCCTGTTCACACTGGGAAGGTTCATTGAGGATAGCTTTTGGAAAGATGTCAATGGCCCGGAACCTCCTAAGTCCACTGCCTCCAATGTACAAGGAGCGGGCGACACCGTCGGTTCCGACGGACCTGAAGTAACACCCAAACAGCCTGCCATCTAGAAGGGGGTATGATTACGTTCCAGGATTCACATTTGCAGGTACAAGCAGGTGATCAATCTAATCGTGGTGGGCCCGTGGGCCCTGAGGCATTTATATTCTTGCGCCCATAGCCCCCAAAAGTCATGGTATTTACGGGAGTGGCTGAGACCACTAGTATGGGGAGGGGGCTGCCGTGTTCTCAACCACAGTATCGACTTTCCATAGCCCAACAACATGTCCGCAAAGTTGTGTTGAAGCCACAATTCCAGCATTCCTGGGCTTTGGTCTCATTTTTCAAATGATTTTAGTTCCCAATACGTATATAGTGGTTAATCAGGGTTATAAACCATTCCTGGCCGTTCCTGTGTCCATGTTTTGAGGGGGCGACCGTCGGTTTTACTTCCTGCCCCATTCCTGCTGCCATTCGGGTGCATTAGGTTCGATGTGAAACATGGTTTTCAAAAAGAATTGGTGCCTCTCCACGCACATGTCTCTCCATGTACTGCTGCTCTCCCAATATTTGTTGTTTCATCGCCTGCTTTTGGAACAATGTTTTGGTTGATAGCCTTAGCCCTGCGTGCCGCCCCGAAAGTCGTGGTATCTACAGTGTAGTGACCCAGTTTTTTGTGATTGTGGCCCCATGTGGCCCTGCTTTCTCGTGCTATTTGCAAAAGTGCCCCGCTTCCCCCGATTGAAGCACACAGTCTTGAACAAAGGTGTGAACATGCCATGCACCATTGCAAATCCACGGAACACGATGCTCACACTCCAGGACCAACAGAATCAATCGCAACTAGGATTTGCAGGTACAAATGAAAGCGATTGGACTTGCTGGCCACTTGAAGTCTCTGTAGTTTTTTGTTGTGGATGCAGGAAACAACCAACGTGTTGGCTTTTGAACGGACCTGTTTATGTGACTCCACGAAAACACCGCCATCCCCCGTGCTTTGGCCCGCTATAAAATGACGGTCGTTTGACACTACAAAATACGGTTTTGTACCCTTTTTATAGAAAACAACTAGAAAACAACAAATGTTCTAGTGTTTGCGTTTGTTTTCGTGGCCTTTCTTGGCATGCTTTGTGGACCCTTGCCAATCATTTTGCAGGGAATGGAGGGCTGTCACGCGCACACATGTTGTTTTTGCATTTTATAGTGTTTTAGGTTGTGACAGCACCTGGATCTGGGAATTTTATGTAGTGGGTTTTAAACATGTGGGGTTGACATGTGTAATGTTTAACGTTCGCACCTGTCACCGTTTTTTGCTATATAGAAAAAAACTCGAAGAACCTAGAAAACTTTAAGGTTTCACTTGTCCATCCGTCAAGTGATCTCTTACTACTGTGGCATTTGGTTTGGCGGCGTTCCAGTCATATTATAAATAGATATGTGTATTTGCAACTTGAAATGTTGACACCAATTCCCCATAGAATGCCCGGCAAGTGATCCCAGTGGTTCACGGAGGATACACCATGATAAGCCCGACATGAAGTTCAAAACTCGAAATTCCGCTGTTTCTGTGAGGTGGAGGTTCGTCACGTTTACAGGGAGGAACGGCCCTATGAATGTGATGAGGGGCTTGAGGACTTGGGTGGTGAGACACGATGTGGTCAAATGCGCCCAGACAGGCCTCACAGAAGATCCAAATTTCTTGGTTGTTTCAATGGCGGGTTCGTAGGAGGGAACAGTTCTTTTATAAGTTTTTTGGAGCAGCTGGGCTCTTGTCGCGGCAAAGTTTAGAAAATCGTAAAGCAAGGTTGCAATGCATGCATCGATATCAGGAGCTTGTCAGCTGGATTGTCTTAGAGTCTTAGAGAGATTTTTTTCACAGATGTGAAGCCTCATGAGACACTGTTTTTCAAGTGCGCGGTTAATTGTTCCAGGACGTGAAGAAATGGGACACCAAACACAAGCGCTACTGCTGCTTCCTGCGCAAGATCGCTTGCCCAACGAAGGCCAACAAGTGCGGGCTTCCGGCTAGTTTGGGGGCTCCCCTTTGCTGCTTGTTGGTGCATGTCCCTACGGCAAACATGCACAAAGACGATTCGGAAATGAGCTGGCTTGGCTGGCCCAAATTTTGCTTTTCATCGCAGGTTGTGAAGCACGACAAGTACATCACAGTCATGAAGCCCAAACTCATTCCCAAGTACATCCCCATGAAGGCTGGCTTTCCTGGAGCGGATCAGCTGGTATATCTAATGGTTGTTCCATTGTCCAGATGTGCTTGTGCGCAAAGTTTTCACATCCGAAGGGTCGCAACTACAGTGTTTGTCGGTTCAACTCCACTGCCATAACGTAAGTTTGGACTGGGTCACCTGTTTACAGACGATGGTTTGCGCTTTGGGAGGCCACAGAGAACAAGACTGTGGTGGTGCCCCAGTACTACCCGAAAGAAATTGAGCCGAAACCCATCAAGGTGAGTGTTGAACAGCCTCCCAAGAAGCTTGGCAAGCGGACAGTTGAAGTCAGGATAGGACTGGATAAGTGGAGTGGAAGCGTTGGAGGCTTGAAGCTTTCTGAGTTGACACTAGCCCTTTGTTACTAGTAGCGTCCTTGTTACTAGTAGCAAGGCCAGGAGCCCCTAGTAGCTTCTTTGCTCCTAGTAGCGATGCCAGGAGCCCCTAATAGCGTCCTTGCTCCTACCCTTTTTTCACCTCTTCACATACCTTTCCCGATTTCTTGTTTTACGTTCGTTATTCTGCTGTAAAGTTGAGACACGTTGGAAGCTAGCTCATGCGAAGCTGAGGATCATCTACCAACCAGTGAATGAGACGCGGCACTTCGGCCAAGGTATTCTGAGATTTTTGACCTTGCGTATTAGTTCCAATTTAATATGCGTCAATGTCAGCAGCTCGGCAGCTTGCTTGTTTTGAAGGTGATGAAGTGCATCCAAGGTACATCCGAGTGCCTGTGCCGGGAAAACCGCGCATCGTAGTGCAGGAGAAGCCGGTTCCAGTGGAGATGCCGCCAGAGGTGGTCAAGGTTTACGATCACATTAAGGTGCCTTGCGTAAGTGCCATGCATTTTGTCATCATCGTCATCATAGGGTAATGTGTGTGTGTGTGTGTGTTTGATGTGTGATGGCTACAGGCCCTACTCCACTCACCTATATAATAGACGCTAGCTGTTTGGCCTGCCGCTTCTGTTTGTTGTGATCGTTAGTGAGTGATATCGGGATATAGTTGAAACCGGATGTGTGTTCCTTGAGCCTGGAGCAGTGGAGCCAAGGTCCACCCCTTTGAGGTCAAGGAACCCCCTGTCCATCACCACCACTTTGATTGCTGCTTGGTGACACTTTGGGCGTGTCCTTTGCTGACTGCGGGTGCAAGGTTTGCTATGTTGTTGTATGCTCCATATGGACAGGTGTTGGAAAAGGGTGGCTTTACAGTCCAGTGTTTGTAATACTGCCAGAGTTTAATCATCGCCCGCGGCTGAGGCAACGCAGGCTACTCAAACTGGTATTTTGGATGGTCTCCAAAGAAGAAGACTTGGTGCTGCGAAGATTCAAACCGGGGCTGCCCAGGGACATGGCATGGAAGTGCGCACTTGCATCTTGGCCAGAAATCAGACATTCTTGTTTGCGGAAGCAGCTCAATTTGCAAAGGCTATATAGATACTAGCGACTTAAGCACTTTGCAGCTATACCTTTTGGTAGGGAGCAAAGCTTGAAAACAATGACCGGATGCCGACCGTCCGTGCTCCAAGGCACATTCACACACACGTGGGACAAGCGACTGGGCACATCTACGATTGTGATGCCGGCTTCTCAAACTGGTTGCATGGCTGGTCCGACTCCAAGAAATCCTGGTGCTGTGACAAGGAGCGGGGTGCCAGATTGTGTGCCCTTGAATCGGAAAGCCAGACCAAGCCAGTTTTTCTTGTGACGGGATTTGTAGTGGCCCAGGGCCCAGAGCTTTCAGTCTTGCAAAACCGAACGACAACATGCTTGACAGAATCATCATAATGGTAGGAAGGAATCTGTTTTGAAGACTCATTTTCCCAAGACAATCACTTTCCTGGCCTGCAACCCATCCCTGCAGTTCCATGTTGGATGCGCTCCGCACAGCTGCAGCGGTACTGATGTGGGTATGTGGAGTGTCGGCAAACGAGAATGGTGCTGCAGCAACTTTCACCCCTTGGGAGGAGTGGCAGTTGCGATACGATTCCGAGTGTTCAACAAGTCTTTGCACAAGCAAGTTCAATATACTATATAACTGCACGTCTAGACTTGCAGCCCGCCTTGCCAAGGAAAGGCTGCGCGCGCACCACCTTGTCACCCTTGAAATGCCGCTCCTCAAATTATGCAATACTTTAGATCGGTCAAGATGTGCAGCTAAAGCTTACTCCCAAGGCTGAATTTGAAAGACCCCTTTGCCTCTAAAAGGAAGGACTTCATATGCACTGCACAGCAGACAAGACACGGTCTAAATGTGCTGCACACTTTTGTTTAAGCAACCTTACTTACTTTCTTTGGTCCAACACAGAACACTAGAGAATGTAACAGAAGGTATCATCAGACAAATCATGTGACACCGTGGTGAGGCCGTGCTGATTCGATGATGCACTACTAGCAACAAGGGCATTACCACTAGTAGCAAGGACGCTACTAGTAGCTCCTGGCATTACTAGTAGCAAGAAGCTACTAGTAACAAGGGCATTACTTCTATTCGCATTGATGCATATTTCACTCGCTGAGGCGATGCGGTTTGCACTCACGCCGGGGAGTCGGTGAGCTGCATGGAGCGCATCCACTGGACGAAGCAAAACGTCTTCCAGGGCCGTAGCTCGGAGATGTGAAAGCTAAAGTGAGCCGGTCGTTCACTGAAAGTTTTTTTGGTTTATTACTGAGGTAGCTAGTAAGTCGGGTAAGCAACAGTTTTGTAAGGCTGCTGAGTAGTCAATAGGTAGCTATAGAACCAATAGGAGTCCTGGCTGTAAAGGTAGCCGAATGAAATATGAGTAAGGATATATAAGTAAATTGATTTAATTGTTAAATGATATATAATATATATATATATGTATCGTGATCATTATAATTATCATTACAATATGTTTTAATCCATAATTTCAATATGGTTAAAGCTGGTACGGGTTCTTTCAAGAAAGCTTGGGCTCACTGGGTTTCTGAGGGTTGGTGAAAGGGGGCCTAACGGATCCTAACGCATACCATTTTTGGATAACTTTTTGGGACACGTTAGGAATAGTTTGTGTTTGTTATTTCTTTTTAGATATTGAGTCCTATAGAAGCCTTGAGGAATGCTCAACCTTTTAGACCTCTTTAGAAGTTTATTCCTTTTGTTTTTTGCACAGCAATTCCTTTGAGTGAGAGGAGAATTCACAGTACCCCTCAGATGCATGCTGTGATGACATCTATCCAAAGGCACTATGCTCATTCCAGCTTATTAGATTGTCAGATTGAATTGCACCCAATGATTAGTATTTTTGTTGTAGTGAAACCGCACTTGACTCCCGTGAGAGAAACTCCTTTCTAGGTGGAAATGCTTGCGCTTTGGCATATAGCAAGGCTGGGCCCAGCAAGGAAATGTTTGCTTGGGTTCAAGCCCCTGCTTCTGGTAGCCCTTTCAGCAGTTATCAGTCATCACGGGCCTTTTGGGACACAGGAGGGCATGACAGGTGACGTGAATAACAAATACAGATCCTCAAGCCTGGCTTGTTATTGTCCTGCAAATGCTCAAAATTTACGCAGCTCCTTTGTTCAAACAATAATCTAGGCGGCATCCTTTTTAGATTCAGTCGCTTGTAACTTTTGGTTCATCATTTCGCAGGTCCAGGTGGAATGCAGCATTTGCCGTGGTTGCAGCATCGAGGCGTCATTGGATACCAAACGGGAACCTGGATGAACATAGACAATATCCATGGGCTCTGACACTAGCCATCCAGCCAATGTCACATGAACTGACTGAGCCGGAAGATACATATACTATCAGTTATACTATCAGTTGCTGTATAAGATACATACTAATACGGTCCATACGGTCATATAGTGTATAAGATTCATGATATATATATATACATACATACATACATAATACATACACATTACATTAAGAAACCCCTCCTGTGGGTCTGTATAAATCTAGCAGTAGAATGCTGTAGAGCTTTGCTAGATAGAAACAGTAGAATGGTGTTGACCTTGGCACCTTCTATACAGTAGTCTACTGAAAGTAGCACGTCAAAGGTTTACAGTAGTCAGTAGTCTCTCAGTTTTAAGATTGTAAGTTAGGTTAAGTATGAGTACAGAGCAAGGAGCATTTCGTTCAGTTTGATATGCTGCTTGTTTTGAGTCAATCTTACTCTTCGTTCTTTGGTTGTAAATGTTATATCTTGTGGGTTCCTATCCCAGGATTTAGTTTCAATAGAGGGGCCCAGTGAAATCACAAAGCCACAGGAAACTACCGACCTGAAGGTCAAATGCGGGAAAGGTGCAGAACCTACTAGTAGCAAGAAGCTACAAGTAACAAAGGGCATCGCTACTGGGAGCAAGGACGCTATGACTAGCTCCTGGCCATACTTCTAGGTACTATTTTAGAACATCAAGTTTTGAGGCACAATGAGGTCTCAAAAGGTTCTGAAAGCGTGCTTGCTACTAGTAGTAAGGCCAGGAGCTACTAGTAGCGTCCTTGCTCCTAGTAGCGATGCTCTTTGTTACAAGTAGCTTCTTGCTACTAGTAGGTTCTAAAATGCACGCTTTGCCACGTCCCTCGAAATATTGTTGTTTCTTTATCAAAGCCTGGGCCTGGGCAGGCTTTGTAAAGGTCCACCACTCAAAACTGAAAGGTGTGCAACACTTGCGCATACAGGCTAAAATAACCCCTACTGCACACCTTTTCTTTGCTCTTCACCTTCTTCACCTAGGGCGTAGACCTTTCCACCAAGTGGAATAGAAGAAGCTGAGCAGTTTGATGCTATGGCCACGGGGCAACATGTCATCACACCATAATGGAATGTTTCAATGTCAGCAGCATGCCACAAATGCCAGCACAAAGTCATGACTCATGCCAACATACCACGATACCTGCGAGACTGTCACGACCACGATCTGAGTGTACCGAAGTCACGAAAGCTAGCTGTAGCTAGCTGGAGTCTGTCTTGCTTTAGCAAGGAGGGTGGGAGCCCAGGACCTGAGTGCTGTTACCTGATATATCAGGACTATACCCCCCCCCCCTCGCGGGGTTCAACTCCACCCTACTCCTCCTCGGTACCTGCTGCTGCTGCTGCTGGCATCTCATCTGCGCCTGGCTCTTGGCTGCTTGCTGGTTGCTGCTGCTTGCATGCTTGCTGCTGCTGGATGCTGGCTGCCTGCTGCTTGTTGTCTGCTCCGTTTTGCTGTTGTCTGCTGTTGCTGTTTGGGGTTGTTGGCTGCTGTTGGTGCTGAAGAAAGCCTATTCGTTAGAATCGAGAGTAGTTGCATTCCCTCTGAGTCGTGAAACGATGCTAATTTCATTATATCCTTAAGAAGCTTGTACAGGCATGTACCCACCCCACAACCCCCAAGAGTACAAATCAGAATGCACCATCCGCTATCCATGCAGATCAAAAGATGATACTTACTACACACATGAATGACAGAACCCAGTAAGATGTTTGAACGGGCTGTTTGCTTCACTCATGGTAGTCCGCATTCCATGTTCGAGCGACAGGGAGCATGCACAAGCGTTGCGACGGAGTCTTCGGTCGCTGACACATGTTCGCATGCAACCCCTAGATGTCAGTCAATCATGCACACCGCTGCTGGCTGCATCGTCAGCATTTATTCGTGAAAAAAACAGATATATCAGATATATCTGTCTTTCCACGTCGCCCTTCTACAATTACTCAGACAGCACCTATATGTGCTATTGTTCGAGACCACATGTTGGGGCGTGAAAGACTCTAAGGAAATCTCACTCTTTCCCTGCTGCTGCTGCTGCTGCTTGGTAGCTGGTGGTGCTGCTTGGTAGCGGCTGCTTGGTAGCTGCTGCTTGGTAGCTGCTGCTGCTGCTGCTGCTTGGTAGCTGGTGATGCTGCTTGGTAGCTGCTGCTGCTGCTGCTGCTTGGTTGTTGCTGCTGCTGCTGCTGCTGCTGCTTGGTAGCTGGCGGTGCTGCTTGGTAGCTGCTGCTGCTGCTTGGCAGCTGCTGCTGCTGCTTGGTAGCTGCTGCTGCTGCTGTTGCTTGGTAGCTGTTGCTGCTGCTGCTTGGCAGCTGCTGCTGCTGCTGCTTGGTAGCTGCTGCCGCTGCTGCTTGGTAGCTGGTGCTGCTGCTTGCTAACTACTCCTGCTGCTGCTTCTGCTGCTGCTTGGCGGCCTCTGCTTGCTGCCGCTGCCGCTGCTAGTTACAGTTATTGTTGTTGTGGCTGCTGCTGCTGCTGCTGCTGCGGCGGTTGCTGGGGTGGTTGTGTGTTGCCATGTGTTGGCTGTGTTGGGGTCGTATTGGGGGGGCGCTGTTGGCACTCTCCCTTTCCCTTGGCCATGGCATGTTGCGATTCCCGGCCAGGCTTTTGCTGCCTAAAGAGCCCCAGCGTTGTTTCTTTGCCTAGCTTTCGCCACCCCCCTCTGGGCCACAAGTTTGTATCATTTAGGGCTATTATGGTCCTTGTGAACAAAGGCCGCCCAAGATCTGCGCAACATAAACCGAGGCTCAGTGATGTATTCATAGCTTCTGAAAACTTCGTGTCATTCTGTTTTCTTGGAGCCTGCGCAAAAACTCTTGAGTCGGTGCAGGTTTTTTTGGAGTCCTATTGCTTGTTCTCGTTTGATTGGATTTTTCCCATGTAAGATGTTTGCACATCATTCATGCTAGGGATTTGGTGCATAGATTTTATGTTAAGGTATTGAACTTCAGCCTGAAACCAAATGCATCCAGAAAGTGCTCTCAGAACTTAATTTCAGAAAGAAGTTGGGATTGTGTCTATGTCAGCAGTGTTCTAGGAGGGTCTTAGTGGTGTAAAAGATCAACGCAAAAACCCACATACGATTACGGTATTGGGTACGGTTGGTACTCGACGTTTACCAATTCAACCCGGTTCCAAATACAGACACGTAGAGACAAACATATACTGGTAGAAACAATGTAACTCATATAGTCACATAGGACATACATTCATACATGCGATGAATATGCAAATGTACTTGGCGCTCCTGCTGTACTTACCTTTAGCAAATGTGGCCGCCAGATGCGGTCGCCCTTGCTCCTGTGTGGGAAACAACTTTGGATTACATTATATATATTGGTTTCACTGTGCCTCTTGAGAACGATTCCGCCTTCACAAAGCCTGGTACAGTTTCATGATTTTTTCTTCACCCATTATAAAGAACCCCTCCGCCCTCCACACAAGTTTTCTACTTTTCATACAATTATTTTTTGTCTTAAAGGCACTTAAAAATAGTACCCTCCGTCTTCAAGAGTCTCATCCTTTACCCACACCTTATCCTTTCCTATGTTTTTACAATGTGTGTTTCCTTTCAGCGCACTGTTATTTTTCTTTGTGACGGCCTCACCCCGTTGGCCTTCATAGACTGCCCTGTATTTCATGAGATTATATATCCTTTTTCAAATGTGTTTCCTTTATACAGCCTTCTTCTTTTGAAAGACATCTTTCCCCTGCAAAATTGACATCATCCTTTATGGGCAACTCCTACATACTGCCAGAAGAGCCATACAAAACTTGCTGTATATAGATTGTGTCCCTGTAGAGATTTGATCCCGCATGATTGACTTTGGGCGTGCAGAAGAGGGTCCCCTGAAGACATTACACCTTCAGTCACAATGAGCCTCACTGATTGACAAAAAGGATTGGATCTCCTACTTTATGTTCTTTCTTCCAGCCCTTTATTTACTAACGCAATACTCTTCCTCTTTTCTTCACAAACTCTTTCAAATCTTAATAGGTTTGCCTTTTGCTCAAGTATATTTAGTGAAATGTTGTTTTACTGTTCCTTTTTCGATCCGCTTCTCAAAGATGTCCATACTGGAGAAACCAGGAGTTGTACCAGATGCAAGGGGATTCTTTCGCCCCCTACCCTTGCCTACAATTTTCTTGCGTAGCCGCTCCTTTTCCCCTCTTGGTTTATTATGTTAGTTTGTTCTGTTGGTAGCGAGCTCCTTGTTTGCGGTTACCAATGGGTAACACAATCCAGCTGGCATTACAACTAAAAAGCATGAGGGGCCAAGGAAAATTACTGAACTTGCTTGGTTCTGGTGAGGTGGCAGAGAAGAAGGTAATAGCTTCGAAGAGAGTGCAGGTCCCAAGGGTACTACTACCAACGCGGAAGCAAGAACCTAGATTCCCGCCAAGTTTTGTGCCTTTTATTCTTGGGTTTTTGGCTCCTGGTAGGTAAGAGTACTTCATAGTACTTCTTAGTACCTTGCCAATCCTCTAATTTACATGTGTGAATAGTAGTAACAATTCTTTGCATGTTCCCGCGACACAACATCAAGTCAAAAAGACCATACAGATATTTGTTTGTACACATTGACTCATGCATATGCAGCTGCATGTTGACTGGGACTGTGCCACGGTGATATCAAGGCCGGAAGTATCCTTGGAGCAGCCTCAAGTCCCCTGTTGTTTCTCAAGAAATGTTCATCTCATGACCTTTGCAATCATTCAATTTATTTCTTGTTTCTAATAGCTTCTTGCTCCTAGTAGTATGGCCAGGAGCCCCTAGTAACTTCTTGCTCCTAGTAGCGATGCCCTTTGTTCCTAGTAGCGTGAAGGCGTGCAGCTACTGTGTCCGCTAGATTGGCATCCTTTGATGAACAGGAAGCTGGTTGCACCGTGAATGTGGCCACGTCTGCCGCCTTTGATTGCAACGCAGCGCTGAGCAACTTCTTCCGTCATTTGGTCCAACGGCACGTTTGCCTTGGGGAGGTGTCAGCGGTCCCTAAATAGATGGAACGTTGCAAAAGGGTCTTGTTCGGCCAAAACTGTTTGTTTGTTTTTTCCCCGTGTTCCTTGGAATCGATGATGTGGCTTCTAGGTCACCAATGTGGAAAGTACAAGAGAACTCCCAGCTGACTGGAAGCACGATATGTATTATATATATAGAGATTCAGCCAAATACCCTCAAATTTTGTTGAACCTGCAGTGTTATTTTGTCGCCGAGGTTGTGGCCTCAACCAACCCTAATCAATTGTAATCCCATGCATTTGGAGCTTCACAGTGGGCGGAACAAAATTTCCACATTTGTTGGTACGTTCCACCGTGAGTAAGTCCCAACATGGTTTCTTTATATTTATATATATTACTGTAATATATATATATATATGTGTGTGTGTGCGTGTGTTTTTTCTAGTTTACCAGCAGTTTGTCTTCGAGTCTTCGAGGGCAACACAAAGCACAGCACAGGTATGGAGACAGATGATAAGATATCATCGCGTGTCACAGCTCTGATGATGTACTGTCCTCCAACCCTGTTTGGCAGAAACAAAGATTACTACTTTATGATGCATGGCTCATGTTGATTACTTTATGGTGCATAACGTGAATGCTTGTGTGCTGAGGAGCTTGGTCACCCTCCAAGAAGCAGTGGTGCTGCACACAAGAGGGCAAAGGTTGCGAGGGCAACAGCCCCCCGCATGTGGATCCCGGCTTCGGAATGGTTTGGAAGCACGTGCAGGCATGGGGCCAAGTTCGTTTGTGTCAAAAGGATGCAAGTCCCGGAAAATCTACACAGTGATGTCCCAGAGGGCAAGCTGCCTTGCAACACATACGTTGGAATTTGAAATCAAAGGTGCAGAGCCTATGCGAGTACCAACTGCATGATGCGTATAAACATAAGGGCCGTGGCAGCTAACCGGCCACAAGTAGTAGAACAACAGTGGTTCATAGCGATTCACCATGTGCCATACTTTGCGAGGTGCATGGCTATTGGACATGGCAGGCAGTAGGCGGAGGCCATGTGAAGTTGCCGTACGAAACCTGGTTGCAGTATAACGCACTGAGTACTATTGGGCCCGTTTCAGAATGTGCCTTTGGTGCTCACATGCATCACCAAGGATTGTCACGCTGGCTTGGCAAATTTCCAGATTGGTTGGTCCAGCGGCAAGAGGGAGCCCTGGCTTGGTACGTGCACGTTCTGGGCGGGGGATCAGGCCCTGGAACAACCATGTGCTAGGTGAGCTTGTTCTTGGACAGAATTTGTGACAATCGTTTGAAACCAATCCGCCCGCGGCTTGTGAAATTGTTTGCCAAGCTTTCAAGGTTTTTGTCAAGTTGTGTGAAATCCAAGCTTTGAGACTGAAGTTCCATTTGAGAAGTCTATCAGTTCTTTGGAACTTCAGCAATACATTGCTGCAATGTCAGCAGCTTTGAGGCCTGGTGCTGCTCTAAGCAACACTTGGGCTGTGGTGCCGTTGGCGGAGCTGCTAGCGCCGCTGGCGCCGCTGGCGGGTTCGCTGCTGGAGCTGCGGGAGCCACGGGCGGCGAATTTGTTCACCATACAACAGCACCCGGGCTAAGCCAAAAAGAACGATGCAAAAAGAACCGCGATGGCCTCCAACCTAATAGCGAACTTGTCCATTCCAGAAAGAACGGAAAGACCTCTTTGAAAGATTCTGAAAGTTTAAGCACGTTCCTGTGAGAGGCCTTTCTGGAGATGCGTCCCTGCATTTTGTCAATAATTGTTTGCTGCAGCCACTTAGGTGGTCATGGATCATGCTGCCCATGGAAACCCACCAGCTATGGCTGCGCGTGGGATGATGTGGCACTGGGCACATTCCGGTGGCCATTGGCATTGGGTGACCGGAATGCACTATTTGATGCCAGTCATTGTGCTTGGCGTCGTTTGTGTGGGTGGGGGCGAGTTTAACGGGGATTGCAAGACAGAGACGGAAAGAGAGAATGAGAGAGAGAGAGAGAGATTCAGAGAGAGAGAGAGAGAGACCCCAAAGTGTTGAGAAAAGCAATCGCTTCGTCTCTTTCACTTCTTTCCCGGCCCCACCGGAGCTTTGGAGTGCGGCAGGAGCTCACTCACTTGCGTTGCTCAGGTGCAGATCCATGCGGGTGGACATTTGCCCTTTGATTGCGAGGCTGGCTTCGCGAAATGGCAGACCGGTTGGTCTGGATCAAAGAAGCAGTGGTGCTGCCAGAACATGGGCAACATGGTTTGAATTGCAATATGTTGGGTAAACGGGGGGTTGCCCCGACAGCAACATGCACAGGGCTAGAAAAGCATGCGTGTTTCATGTGTGTTTTTTTTGCCTTTCGGGTCACTAAACTTATCGTTTTGGAGTTCGATGACTTGAGTGCGTGGATTTTCAAGACACTCAGGTCTGCTGTCCAGTCTCTCCCGTCCTCCGAGACACGGGAGCAAACATCAATGTGGGCATCCAAAAAGAGACCGAACAAAACACAACAAGAGAACTAACGACAAAAGCAAACCTCAAACGTGGAACCCGCCATGTCCTCTAAAACTCTAAGCCGAAAGCGCAACTAATGTCGATTTACGCGAGTAATAGTAACACGAACGAAACTGTCCCCAGCCCCCCCCCAACCCCCCCGAAAACCATGTTGGTCGTCAGAAAGGTTTGCTTTCGGGCAACCCCCTTTGTTGACCATGTTGCAATGTCACCTGGAGCGGGGAATGGCACGCCAGCATGGCCTTGCTGCCGGATTTAAAACAGCGGTTAGGCCAACAAAGACTAGGAAGAGAATGCACCAAAAACATATCTCATTTAAAAACTGTGTGAACTGGCCGTAACTGGCATTGGAGGAAAACACATTGGATCATTGGCAGTCAAACTTCTTGTGCGCTAAGGCAAAGGTTGCCAATGAGCGATTCCTGGATCTCAGAACTCGTAGGTCGAATCCTCTATAAAATTCGAGGTGCGGTGGACTGACGCCGTCTCAAAGTGGATTCTATGGTGTTGATGTATGCTGCATGCTTCAACTTCAGGATTGCAGATGTGTGATCCCAAGTCACAAAGAGGGACTTTGACTGCAAAGGAGTTGGTTTGAATGTAATATAACCAACATTGCAGGGAACTGTTACTTGCATGACCTACTGCCCCTCGTTTAACTACCCGGACGAACGAAAGGAATGGAGGGTGATGACAGAAAGCGCTTGGCAGGTTGCACGGATGCATGCAGACACTGATCAGTGGCATGGACAAAGACTTTTCCCTCTGCTGCCCTACTGGACTGCGAGATGTCACAACTCTGAGTGTTTGTGCCGCACGGAAAAAAGAGAGCGTGGGACTATGTTGAAGACGTGGGGCAATAATTCCATTTTGCCAGACAAATTTGTGTTTGGGCATATTGACATATATGGTCAGTCCTTAGAGCGCAGCAGAAGCGCGTGATGGCTGATTGATTTTGACCCTCATACTTGTTTGTAGTAGCACCGATGCGTCAGCTATGGGACTGAGTTCTTGCCATTTTGGCCCTTGTTGCTGTGCCCACCGTTGGCTCAAAGTCTCACCTGTTATTGATGTGCTAGCTTTCCTCTTCATTATTCCTGTTTCTTCAACAAATCGCCAAACTTTCAGTTGTATCAGCTCAGATATGCGAATTCAATCGAATTCACATATACTGGTATGATTTGGTATGTAGATTGTATATGCCACAGGCCACCATTGCAGATCTCAAGACACAAATGTCCTGACAATCAACAAGCCAAAAGCAACAGATCTGCCACGGATTTGGGATGCAATTGCTGTGGGATGCCAGCTGCTCAGAGATCAGTTCCCATGATGGCTCCAACTTCTTCAGACGCTCTTCTGTATAAAATGTTTGACACTTTCAGACTCTTTTGGACGCCCCCCTTAACCACTAGTGCAATGTGTGGCATTGAGAAGGGCTCACTCTCATGGCAGAAGACTGAGCAAAATCTGAAGAATAAGACTCCAACAAGTCCACCTCTCAATCACCCCTGAGGAACCCTGCGCCTGCCACGATTCTTCGAAGTCGGGGTGGCGGGGAGCCACAATAATTAATTACAATATGTTTTTTTCAGAGAAGCGCATCGAGACCAAATCATTCATTAGTTTCTGAGGCTATTCTGCGTCCAGTTACTAGAAGCTTTAGTAGCTAGGAGCGAACTTCTCCCTTACTTATTCAAATAGGCGCCTACTTAATTAGTTAAGGAGGCAGGGCCACTCGGGCTTAAAAAAGGGAAACCTTGGTGTGAATTTGGGGGTCCGCACAACTCGTTGAAAGCAAGCTTGGCAGGTGCGATATACTCTGTGTGCTTCGCCTCGCCTGAGCAGCTCCTTAGCACAAAGCTCAGCCTCCGGGCTAAAGCAGCTAAGGAGCAGAGTTGTCTAGGGAACCCAAGATTGTAAGGCAACACATGGTAGGGCCATGGTTTCTCGACATGAAGGGCTGCCATGAGCAGATTCGTAGCCATAAGGTGGCAGCTTGGCTGGAGAGGTGTCGCACGCGTATGCGGAGCTTTGCATCCTCACATATATATATATATATAATCTATCTATATATAAATATATAATCTATCTATCTATAAACATATATATATATATGTGTGTGTGTTAATGACGTGTGAAGTCAGCATGTTGGTAGAAAAGCCTTAATCATTTGGAATTTGGTGTTGGCTAAGCGAAAGCTGCAGACCATATTGCTTTGTATGGAAGGTGGCGCACGATGGTCACAGTGGTGTTCCCTTTCTTGCCCTCCAACCTAAAAGCGAAGGCCTCCAACCTAAGAGCGAAGGCCTCCAACCTAAGAGCGATGGCCTCCAACCTAATAGCAATGGCCTCCACCTCCAAATGCCTCCAAAGTTCCTGTTCGCAGGTGTCTCTTTGGGATCTGCAGGATCAACGTCCGGTTGGAAGCCCAGCAAGATTGTCGCAGCTGGATTATTTTTTTCGCAAGGTGGGACTCGATCCTGGCAAACATCATATGCTATCCCAGAGTATTGAATAAGTCAGCAACATTGGCAATGGTACCCCTGTTTTTGTGGAAGTAAAAAATGTAAGAGCAACAGCACTTTGGCTTTGTGACTAGATTCCAGGTCGACTAGACCAGTCACTATTCCTGGTTCCAGGCATGGACTTGGAAGGCTTCGACACAGACAGCTGCCGCCTGAGGTTTCAGGGCGTGAGGTTGTGTTTTTGAAAGGCCGAGCTAGCAAACTTGGCTATAGTGACGCAATTATATATATTATGTATATTGTTTCATATTTTTTACATATATAAATGAATCAAATGTAAATAATGGGGCTAGGCCAGACTCGGCAAGACATTGCCCCCCTGTGTTGTCGACTCAGGCTCCTTTTCCTCATCGGTGTTCAAAGGTTTTTGTCGTGGAGCAGAACCATGGGATCCAGCCAGACAAACCTGTTCTCAGGAATGGCACTAGCGTTCCGTACAGACTGGACTTATTTACAGTCTTTTCTTTGATGCGCTGGTCTGTGGATGTAGTGTAGGCTGGAGATCCTTGAACTGTTTGCACTCCATGAGCGGCTCTTGGAGTGACTCCGACCACTTCACTCGCACGCGTCATTCATTTTGTTTTGCCTCCTTCCGTGGCTACTCGAGGTTCTATCTGTTCAATGTTTTGAAGGGTGTTGCCTGAGTCAAGGTAAAGATGGCAGGCAGGGCAATGCACCCTTTCCTGACAAGATTTGGGTGTAGCCGCTGTCCAGTTAAGTTTTGTGCCGGATGGCATAGAAACGATTACAGAAGGACAATTCAAGGACATTCAGGTTCTCTTGGGTGCCTCGTTGCACCGCTTCTATAAACATTCAGCAAATGCAGCAAGTGCCGGTTTAGTCTTTCTCAGTGGAGATCCTCAATCGTCCGCCCGTCAGGGTGAAGTTGTGGGACATGCAAAGTCAAGAGCTCCAGTGGGAGGCACTGTTTCACATGTGAAACATGAAGCCAATAAGTCCGGCTGCTTTTTGATACTTTTTGTATGTGTCAGGTGTTTGTAGACGAAGGATCAAGCTTGAAGTCAGAAAATGATGGAATCGCATATAAGATCATATAAGTCGTATAAGCCGTATTTATGAAGCTTTGAGTTTTTGGCCAGAGTTTCTCTCCGCGGGCCTTTCAGCTGCAAGCCGCTACACAACCTGACTGGACTGACGACGAGGCTGGCGCCTAGCAAGAACACATTTGGGACACCCAAAACATATCAATTTCTCTTGATGTTGTGAGGGAAGTGCCTCAGAAGGTCTCGCAAGGTTGACGTGGGGCAAGCCTCCTCCTTGAAGATCTTGAAGGGGCCAAGAAGTTGTGCCTGAACTGTGATGCATTTATGCCATTGCAGCCGGCAAATTCTGAAACCAAAGATTGACGCACCCACGAAGTTTGGCCCGTGCAAGCGCTATCACTGAGTAGGTTTTTGGATGGTGCTCTAAGATGTGGTTCGTCATGATCCTTCATTCAGCTATATACGTGCAGCCATTTATTTTTGGACTGACACACACACACAAAGAGTCAGGTGGGCTTTGCTGGCTTCTATTTGATGTCTCGCGTCCTTTGGCTTTATCCAAGTGAATTGAACTGCTGCTGTATGATATAGCTGCTATTATATAGCTGTATATATTATACGGACACATGTTTTTGCTTATTATTCAGTTGCCGCGCTGAAGGCATGTTGGCTTTTCTATCAGACTTAGCACCATGTCATGGACATATTGACACCTGATAGGTCTTTGGCCTGATGTTGCTTCTAGGTGAGTTTCATTTTTGAAAATCCAGCTGGTGCGTGCCCTTCGCCCACCTCAAAAATTGAGGCGAAGGGAAGTGCTCGACCTTTGCTTTTGCTCCTCGTGGCTGCCTGTTTGTCTCCTGGCAAATTTGTTATATGATTCTGAGTTTGCAGAGGAAAAAAAGCAAAGCAAAGCAGGGGATGTTCTTGTTGACATGTGTGAGTGTGCTTTTTTTTACTCGGGCTATCCCATGTCAGAGGAGCTCCCACAAAGTTGTCCTGACAGAGGTATTGGAAACGAGACTTTTGGAACGGGAGTATGTATTTAATACTTGATCTATCGATTTGATACTGAGGAACAAGTCGATTGAGACACCATCAAAATCTCAAGCATGATGGGATATGATGACATCAATTTTGCATATGCACCGGCATTATCCACATATATCCACCAATCAATTATGGCATTTGGCAATTGCCGAGGGCCTTTGTTGTTTTGTAGGCTCCACTGGTCCCACAGGAACAGCTTAAATGCACCTTACATTTGTACAGTGTACACTCAAATTCTCCACCTCTTGCGTCAAGGCGCTTTGCAAGTGTGGGCTTTGCCGGAGCTGGAGCTGGCACGCGCTTTGATGTGCACAGAAGGATGACAGATTGCATAGGTGCAATTAGAAATATGTGCAGGGAACCTAAGGATTACTATGTTACTATGTTGTTGGCGTATTTGCCAATTGCCCAGGCTACGGGCTGGGTTTGGTTTACCACTTCAGAACCTCTTGTTTGACTGCACTGCCGCAAAACACAATTCCACCTCGAAGATGCTGAAGCAAGGTTTGGAAGTGACCAACAAAGCAAGGGGAGCTCGTGTTAGTTTCTTTTTCTATCGTATCCTAGGCCTGAACGATCTGTGACCTCCTTGGCGGCAAGCGCAGGGGATGTGGAGGCTTGAAGCAATTCACAAACCAAGTTTGATTTCTGCTAACCTCTAGCCATGAAGTTGCCAGCTGCAATGAGCATATGTGGCTGGATCCATTGATAGATTGTTTTGGTGGAGTAACCATCCACTTCAAAAACACAAAATGAAATCAGTCTGCAGGTGACCCGAAAGCAAGCGCTGCTTGTTTCTGCAGTCCTGGCCAGTGGCGCCTCAAGCGCGCACGCTGAGGAGCCATTGGAAATCGAGTAGATTGGCCCGACCATCGTCCAAGTGTTGAATCCTACACGCATGAAGATATTATGCCCAAAACAGCCAGCACCCCAATCGTCCTGAATTTTATATATCGCGGTTAAAACAAATTGTATAACTATATATATAATATATATATATATGATGCTACCTGTTTCTCTGGAATCTCCATGGCACAGGTTTTGGCTGATGGATATGTTTGAAAATGAAAAGTTCCCTTCACTTCACCACGTTTTTCTTACCACTTGCATGCCAGTTTAGAAGCTGTTTGGCCGTGTGAAGGACATGAAGTTGAAGGTGAAGTCACTCATGAAGGAGGAGAAGTTCAAGTGACGAGAAGCAGAATGGTATGCCGGCATGCCCAAACCGAGTGAGATATATGTGTTCGATTTATGCTACTTTTGCTGTCCAAGAAATAGTTGGAACAATGCATTCAGAGCTGGGCCTTGCATCAGGACCCCACTCCCAACGACAACGGCGCACCAGAAAAGCACATCCCAAAGGTCACGGTCTCTGATGGATCGGTGGAGGTGCTGGTGCCCCATGTCATGGACAAGGCAGCGAATCAACAGTCGAGCTTCAGCGTTACAGTAGAACAAAGTCCATGACTGTGTCCGTGCACCTGCTGTTCAAAGCGATACCTATTGTGGTTTGCTGCAAGTGCATTCGCATGTACAAAACATTACATTTACGCTACACTATGAGATTTGGAGTACATATATATCACGAAAGCTAGCATGCTAGCTGAGTTCTTCTTTGCTTTAGCAATGTATTGGGATGGGCTGCGTGCCTTAAAGATTGATATATCAAGCTAACCCCCGCCCCCCGCGGTTCAACTCCCAGCTGTGCCTCTTGAGGGGATCTATGCGTATTCTTTCTACCAGCTACCTTTTAACATTTTAAAAAATATTGATAGCACAGCTCCGTCTGCGCAGCCCTCTGCAGCCCTCTCAAAAATGATCGAATACCCAGGGTTGTGCCAGCAAAATTGTGTGAATATTTAAATCATTCTATATCATTCCTCCATGCGTTTCCTGCTTTGTTGCTGCTGCTGCTGCTGCTCCTTCTCCTGCTCCTCCTCCTCCCCTGCTGCCTGCTGCCCCTGCTGCCAACTGCCTGCTGCTTGCTTCCTTGCCTGCTTGCCTGCCTGCCAGCCTGCCTCCCTGCTTGCCTGCTTGAGTGCTTGCCTGCTGGAGTGCTTGCTTGCTTGCTTGCCTGCTTCCTTCCTTGCCGGCTGGCCTGCCTGCCTGCTGCTTGCTGCTGCCTTTGCTGCTGCCTTTGCTACTGCCTTTGCTGCTGCCTTTGCTGCCTGCTGCTGCTGCTGCTCCTCCTCTTTCCCTGCTGCCTGCTGCTGCTGCTCCTCCTCTTTCCCTGCTGGCTGCTGCCCCTGCTGCCGCCCCTGCTGCTGCCCCTGCTGCTGCCCCTGCTGCTGCCCCTGCTGCTGCTGCTGCTGCTGGGTTCTGCTTTTTTGACCTCAACGACCGCAGCGCGGTAGAGAAACCGCCAGTGTGCTTCCGCTAGCTTTCGACCTCCTCCCCTTGGCCTCAAGTATATGGAACTGTCGGAAATGATCGTAAGCAGGTGCGGTGAGGCTGATGTTCTTTGAATGAGGGTAAAGTTCTGAGTTCTTGGCAGCCCTGTGGTGACCTGCGACTACAATTGACTGATAATATTATTCTACTGTCCGGCCAGTGCCAGGAAAAGCCACACTACATTGAGTATGTTTGGGTCTCTGCTCCTCGGGTTGCCCAGTGACGGTGGGTGCGGAATGATACTGGCCGGGCATTTGCACTAAGTCGTATCTCACCACCAAGAGTCGTGTCTACCCAGTATGTGATTGTTGTTTTGATATGTTTTGGGAATCGGGCTGTGGCCTTACCATCAGAAGTTTGGAAAGCACGTATTCTTCCATTTGTGAAGAATTGAGCAAATCGTTTCTAGCACTGCCCAGGGTTTGTTTCGCGACGAGGCTGTAGCATTTCGGTCCGTTTGTGTCTTCCCTGATTAGCTGTGGCCATGGGGAATGCGTTGAAGTGATGTGATGTGACTTGTATTTGTAGAAACTCGATGACTTTACTTTTGAGAGACTGTGGCCGCAACCGGAACAAATGAAAGGGGCCGGGCAAAGCCAAACTAAGGACGCGAGCACTGGGGAGGTGCTCTCGGTGAAGTCCTTTGCGCCCACCGATGCCTCGCCCCCGACGCTTACAGCTTCGTTGCCCAAGGGCACCGTGGCCAAGCCCATGCCACTGGGCAAGCATCCTGGTGGAGTCGAACAATAAAACTGCAAGTGGTGTTGTTGTTTCATATTCAACTATAGTAACTAGATGCAACATGATACAACTATAGTAATTAACCATGTGCAAGTGATAAGTGGTAGTGGGCCTTCAATCGTTCCACAGCTGAGAACACTGAAGGGTGAGAGAAGGGATTAACAAATGAACAGCTTGCAGGCGCTTGCAAAGCACATCCGACCTGGGATGACCTGGGACTTGATTGATGTTCAATTGATTTGATCATTTGTGCGGGGCCCTCATGGGCCCTCCTTCAATCCAATTACTTCACAAGGATTTGAATGTTAATTTTCCAGGAGCCAATCTCTTCTACACATTTGTCCTTGAGAGGGAAACCCTTCTGCAAGGCAATTGCAGTAACCTGCAAATATCGTGTTGGAAACCATTTGCTTGGACTCGTTTGGAATCCGAGACCCTGCCGATGACCAGCAAATGCAAGTATGCAAGTGTGATATAGTATAGTTGCTACTTCAGTAGCTCGGTCATGAGTTTGATCTTCGCCCGCCAGTTATTGCTTCAAACTGTTGAAGTGTCGGATTCGACACCAAATGGCCATGAAGGCCATGGCGTAGGCGGTTTCGGATGGCCGAAACCAGAGATCTCAAGGTGCGGGTGGCTGATGCACAGGGCCTCCGACTGATGTCTGGTGGAGAGATCCGGCTCGTCATCACACTGTGTGCCTCAGATGACCTGCAAGGCGAAGCCTTTGGCGCGAAGGTTACACCTTGGCTGAAGGTTCGATTGGGCAAAGGAAGACCTGTAATTATGGATTAACTATATTTGTGTAATATATTAATATACATCATTGTAGATCATCCATTCAGTAGTGAACTTAAGCATATCGTAAATCAGTCCAATTGTGCTTCGCATGGAACATGGGTGAACAACAGGTTCAGTAGGTGGAAAGTGAGTACGTTGCACGTGTAGTTTGTTCCTTGGTTTCGCTTGTTGTTGGAGGTACCCACCGATGAGGCGCCACAGTGGAAGGCCAGGGAAGCCTTGTTTGCTGTGCCTATGGAGCGGTGCTTTGAGGCGACCTTCGTTGACTCGGCTCATTTGCAAATTGCTTTGATGCAGAAGGGTCATGCGAGCCCTCAAGAGCGGCCTAACAAGTCGATGGCCCAGCAAGTGGGATCACTAGGATTTTCAGCTTTGCAAGGGGGCTTGTCAGCCTTGCGAGTCGAATCCTTTCCTTTGGGATCTGCAGTTAATTTGGGTTTTGAACGTCAGAGTCAAGGTGGTGAGATGATCGGCATCTTAAAGATTCCGGTGGGCCGTCGATTGGCATGCGGACAAGGAGGGAATGATGGAGCTCAATGGGTGCAATTGCAAAAGAATGAAACTGTGAAGGGAAGTCTTCTCTTGGAGCTCGCAACCGACGAGCACCTTGAGGCAATGGCAGCGGCTGTAATTTCACCTGTTGTGCCCACTGCATCCTTTGCCCCCGCAGTGTACTCTGCGCCCGCTGCGCCGTTGGGCCCCACTTCGCCTTCACACAGGGATGCGATCCATAGCCCAGAGCGTTCGGGCTCAGAGATCCGTGAGTCCTCGCCAATCACTTCAAGCCAAAGTGGACAGGGATCTCGGAGCGCATGCCAGTCAGACTCTGAGAGTGGGACTCGGGATGGTCTTGGTGAGCACTCTGACGGCCCAGAGTTTGAGGCAGGCAGTGTCAGAAGTGCCGAAGAAGAGGCTTTCTTGAAGTCCTTGAGTGCAGAATCCAACAAAGTCTTGCTGGAGATGAGCCAGGCCAAGCCTTCAGCACCTCGGGAGTGGCGGCCAAGGGCTTCTCCCACGACACAGTCGGAAGACAATGTCAACATTTTTAACATCAACGAGTCCGGTCGAGGATCAAGCGTTGGGCGATGGCTGAAGTGGTCAACAGCGCCTGTCAGGTTGTCCTCTTTGCGCTCTGCACTGGATCCTGGCGTGCGTCAACAGAGAAAGGAGGTGCGAAAATGGCGCCAGTGGCATGAGGTTTTCTGCGTGCTGAATGCGATAGAGCATCATTTGAGTGAGATCATGTCTGGACTGCGGCAGGCTGAGGCTTCAATGAGACGCTTTGGCCAAAGTCATGGTTCGGAAGCTCTTCGCGAACCATCCAGATTGCCAGCTTTTCTTTGTGACGCAGCACTTTACTACCAGAGTGAAGCAGCTGTTCCTGCACATTTAGAGGACCAGCTTTCCCAATTGGAAGCTCTTGCAGATGAGTTCCGGGGGATCTCATTGGAACCTGACGTGAACACCCCTCGGCCGGAGAGTGAGGATCTGAGGGTAGACATCGCCGTGCTTCTCGAAAGCCTCATCATGGGTAGCTACCAGGCATTGGCCGAGTACAAAAAGATGCACTGCAGATTAGAACTCGTGGCCAAAGAATACGAACCTTTGTGCCGTTTGGAGGTTGACAATGCTTCCAAGACTTTTCTGCCCCTTTTGGTGGATGTCCCAGTCCCAGCTGTACTTCCGGAACAGGCGGTGCAGTGGGCTGAAGACTTCTCCCAGTTGGTTGGCAACGCTTCAGTGATGTTAACAGCTCTAGTGCGAGAGCTGCAAAGTCGCAAGGGGCACTTGGGCAGCTCTTTAAGTGAGCTGCGCTCGCTGCTCTTAAGACATGCTGCAGGCGACTAGAAAAAGAACTGGGCCCTTTAGCCTATAGCCAATTGAATCGTCGTTTTGTTCACCTGGTGGTTGGATGCACTTTGGTATAGCAAGGAGAGCCCGCGCATAAGAGCGTGAAAGAACAAGCGTGATATGTAGTAACAGCAGAGTGTTGCTGACCTTTGTGACATAGTAGAAACAAGAAGCTACTAGGAACAAGTGCATCGCTACTAGTAACAAGAAGCCACCTTGTGTCATCGAGGCTCTTTTGCAACCTGCATGGCCTTTGGGAGGGAGAGAAGTTCACTGTGTGAGCGGCACAGATTGAGAGCTGTTCGGTCAGGATGGGGTTCAAGGCAAGCGACAGTCCAAGCACACTACAGTAATGCGCCATGGTCATCAGCGGTGTTCATCAACTGTAGAAGTGTTCTTTCCCCCATGCCCCTTGTGAGACTAATGTATACTAATGTTCTTTTTGGCTGGTCATGAAGTAGATAAGGGCAAGAACTAATCTTTAATCATCACGTATGCCTAACAATTGCAGGCTCTTCAATGGTTGTCATGGACCACCGAGAAGATACATCAGGCAAACCTCAGATCAGCCTGTAGGAAAGGGATGATGCGGCGTACCCTTTTTCTAGGTTGCATGTCCGATGTCACAATCAGATATGGAAAGACAATGAAAGACATGTCTCAGGGCCCCCTCAGCACCAAGCGATTAGTGATTTGCCTTCTACCCAAGCCTGCCTGTTTGATTTGGCACGAACAAGCTCCAGACCCTTTGGTCCGTGGCAGAGATATGCCTTTGGGCATTTAGATCATCATTTGCTGTATGTATATAGACCTCTTTTGTCAAGAGGCAGACCTAGCAGACCAGCCACGAAGAGTGGAAAGAAAGGATGAAGACAGCTTCAGGTGACTGAAAGTGATGAAACAATGCCAGAGTCTTCGGGAGCTTTAACATTCAGCCAGTCCAGAATGCTAGGTTCGCTCCACCTTGACTTTACGGTGGCCAGGTTTCAACTGGCAGCTGCTCCTTTTGCAGAGTCCTCCCTCTAGGCTGCTTGGTGTACGTTAGGGTTGTGATCATGTACGATCAGGAGTTTGTCATTCAGAGTTTTATGGCCACATGGAACGAATTCCCATCTCCTTGCGCATTGTTCTAGTTTTGTTGGGGGCAAGCTAATTTGATTCTGTGAGTCTTTGAGAATACTGAATTGAATTCAGTTTGTTCAAGCTGTTGAGCACGAAATCCGGCAGATACCTCTGGCACATTCTCGCACGGAGCTGAGCGGTCTTTCTTGAGTCTCTGACAAGTCTGGCGACCTGCCATTCTGAATGTTACGTTCCATTCCGGAAGTATGCTTGAGCTTGGGGGACGTTAGTATGCCCAGCTGCCACAGAATCAGAGAATATGGAATGGACTTCGCTGCTCAGTGTGGCGTCAGGTTCTGCAGCCCCCTTTCAGAGCCAGAGGAACTTGGTATTTTCGATGCTCGGGCCTGGAGGCTCAGGAGTGTTTTCAGTCGCGAGTCCGCAAACAGTAATTCACATTATTTCATTTTTGGTCTCGTTCACCAAGAGTTTGAAGAAACCATGATGCATGTGTCATCTATTTATGTCAAAGGAGTGGTAGTCAAGTTTTTTGTTAAAGAAATGTATAAAAACATGATTTTCAAATAGCATATCCTCCAATTACGTATCTCATCCAAATTGTTTTAACGGGCTAAATATGTCAATTGAAACAGCACTACGTATATATATAATAGAAGATATAGAAGGGTGAAGGAGTTGGAGATGGTGGAAAGGGTGACCTACCCAGAATACAAGAGTAGATCACTAATTAGATAATTAGATCGCGACGATGGAGTGTACATGGCCGTGTTTGTTAATTGTTTTTCACAATCTCTTTGTCCAAGGCCCCACAGCCTCAGCCTGCAACTGAGCTGGCTGGCACATGTCGCCAAATTTTTGCACTTGGAAAGCCAGGTCTTTGGTGCCACCAATGGTGACATGAAGATGTGCTTCATAGATGTTCTACGTTCAGAATCCATGAGTCAGCCCGCCCACGTTCGCAATCCTTACAGTCAGTAGACCCTAGAGGACATAGAATGCCTGTAGGACCCGAGGACCGATTGCAATTTGTGCAACTTTCTTGATTTGCTGTGCTGAGAACAAATCAAGCATGCTGCTGCAGCCTCGTATTGATATTGCTTTATAGAATTGGTATACACTTGTAGTTTGGCAGTGCGCGTGGGTGTGTCAAATGTTGATGCATCCAGACCAACGCTTTTCTGTTTAGCATGAATGAAAGAAGCAAGCTTCAGACGTTCAAAGAAAGATGTGCAGCTGTCCCACAACCATGCTGAGGATTGGGCACCTCGTGTTGCCCAGGCCAGTCAGCCAAGATTGGATTCAAGGGCACTCCTCACTAATCGTAGGAGCGTGAGACTCGTAGTAGTCTATCGTGCCCTGAGACAATGATGTGAGTGGTGCACTTTGTGGGTATTCAGTTATATATATATACAGTAGTCCTGAGAGGGCCGAAATCCCATTGGAAAGTGATACGAGGAGTATACAAGGGCGACCCGGCCTGACGTCTGGAAACAGTGCGGTCAGCAGAAGAGTTAAGTTATACTATACATTTGTTTATAGCACTTCTTTGCATGTTGTTCGCGAGATAAATACGCATGGAGAGTGTGTTTGTGTGATTTGCACAATGTCCATGTTTGTCATTTGATTTTTGGCAATGTCATTTTATGGTATTATCGACGAGTTGTGCCTGTTGACGTATCATGTGTGGCCGTTTGGATGAGACCAGGTCAGTCCATGATTGATTCAAAACCATAGGACTGTGGCATTCCACCCGTTCCTGCCCGAAATGTTTGTTTAAAACTGCTTAGTTGCAACTACATGACTCATCCATGGCTTTTTCAGAATTGTACCTGGGCCCTTGTGGGGCTTTTTAAGATTCCATCGACCTTAGTCCAGAGATGTCCAGAGGAGGGTGATGCTGCGAGCCAGGGCAGATGGAACCTCCTCTCCAGGGACAGAGCCCTGGCAAACTCGTTTGAAATGATCGTAATGTTGCCACAAGAACCGGTGACGGTGACATTGACATTCTGAAGAGCACTGAAAAGGACAAAGAAGACGATTCATGTTCGCATTTCAGCAATTCCATTGCTTTCACACACCTTGTGGTTTGTCATTTTTTGTTGCTCCTTGATCCAACACTTGATTCACACTGGACATCAGACTTGGAGTCATGACCGCCAGGATGTGCATGGATTTGTGCCATTGTCCGGCTTTGGGTTTGGGCCTCAGATACTCTTGTCAAGCAAGACAGCAGTTCCAAGGCATTTTGCTTCCCTGTGGGGTTTGATAGCTTTTGAGAGCAATGTGGCAGGGCCTGCCAAACTGTTCGAGAGCATGAACCATCAACTCACTTGGCCAGGGTCAAAAACTTGTTGCTGGCTACCGGCCTTCCGTGGCCTTGACGTTGGAAAGCATGAGCATTGGCTTCGGTTTGCAGCTGTTGGGCTTGCACTAAGTGGGCATGTTTGTAGTGTTGCCCAGGGCCCGAAGGCATCTCAGTTGCAATTGCGCCGTCTCCCAGTCCCAATTTTTATGCGACGTTTATATAATATACTAATTAATTACACTACAAATGATATACAAATTACTAACCGATCACCAAGCACTCAATTCTACGTTCCAAGGTGCATGGTGACGGTCAGTGCCAATCATGCAGCGGGATGAGAAGAGAGTTCGATGCGCTCCTCGGCTTTCCCCTTGCAGGGTTGGGGAGTTACACGTTGATCTTCAACGTTCAACCGCGCCGATGACGTCCGCCTTCATTGCCATTGACTTTGCTGTTGGTCCTTTGTCAATTAACGTTTCTTGACACATGATTTGTTTGTAGATCCTTTCCGGAAACAAGGACCGATGGAGCCGGCTTCGGGGCGATCCTGGCTTGATGCTTTCAGCGGTGGTCGCTTTCATCAAAAGAATCCAATTCGACAGTAGCTGCCTATATATAATGAACTGTAGGTACTAAAGTTACAAAAGACATTGTTTGTCAGGGTTTATGAACACCCCTAAGCAGCTGAATCAGGCCCTCAAGGTCTCAAGGACACTTGGAAGAGTCTCACGGGGTGTTGTGACTAGTGAGCTTATAGCTGCGCCCATCTCGGAGGTGACAATCGGCTTCAATGCCTTCATGTGCCTTGCCGCAATGGTGGAGCTAACAAATCAGAACAAACTCAAAGAACGTGAAGGACAAGGGGCGAGCAAGGACGCTACTAGGGGCTCCTGGCCTACGACTAGGAGCGTTCGGACGCTACGAACGGGGCACAAACAGCGAGGCCGAACACGGACAGCCCTTTACAAGGGAACTAGGGCATCGTAGAATTTAGAGTGCGTATCGTGTGGCCACTCCGCAGGTATAGTTACGGCTTTTTCAGCTGCAGACCTGGCGGGCACATATGGCAGACAATCTCAGGAGATTTGGCTAGATTCAATTGCTTGGGCATGGGTTGTGCACCGAGCAACGGGGATGACCAGCCAGAAAAAAGAGACCACCAAGATGTAATTGGCTGAAAAGCACTGACTGGACCAGCGCTCTTCAAATGCCACTTGTCATGGCGATATGTTTGCTAAGGCCCATTGTGCAGACTGTTTTTGATCGGCAAGGAAGATTAGGAAGTGATGTTATGCACCAGCTGACAAACCCTCCTGCCGTGAGGTCCTAGCTATCTACTGTGAAAACATATGGCAATGCAACATCCAAATTGCAATGTTCCAGATGCTCAGGATATGAGGGCGGCGAGATGATCAACATGAGTTCCAGCATTTGCTTTGGCAAATTGTTGTCATGAACTGTTTTGCCTGGGCAGGGCAGGACACCTTGCTGACCCTGCTGTGTACTTATACAAATTTATACAACTACTTTGTGCCCGTTTCTTCCTGCGGCTTTTGATCCTAAATAATGTAGCTCAAAACAACACTGGCTTGTTTCCTCATTGCCTTCGGGCAATGTTAGTCTTGCTTTATTGGTTTGTTTGACTTAACTTGTGTTTATGCGCACTCTTTGGCATTTGATTGGGCGCTGCGGTGGCGTTCAGTGAGTTGAGCTGGGAAAACTTGCCAAGGACTGGTACCTGGTTGGCTCTTCCTTTGGCCGCCTTGGATCATCCGTGGAAGGATTTGCAAAACGCCACCTGTGGAGGCCAGGTGGCTGACCTGCAGACATCATAGCTTTGAGCGCATGGAGGTCCTGGAGGTTGTCGGGGATTTGGCCTTTGATGAGCAATCTTTAGAGTTTTGTCACCTTAGCATCCTTAGCGTCAAGTTGACAAGATGTTTGGTCAAAACCTGGGACAGGAACAATAAATGGACATCGTCCAGCACCTGATTGGGACACTTATGTTTGCACCCCGCTCATGGACATCCGCGCGGAGGATAGCTACACCACGTGGAAGAGGACCGACAAGATATAGTAGGACACATGCAGTCTTTGGTTCTCGACATTGTAGTAGTAAGGTGATGTGGCACATTGTGGTACAGAAAAAAGATGGGGCGCAGAAATGGGAAATGTGAAGATACCCATTCTAGAGCCAGCTTGCTTGTGCCAAGGTTTCCTGAGTATTTGTCGTGTTTGATGTGGTTTTTTCTCTTGGCTATTTTCAAGACCTTCTAGGAGTCTTCCCAGCATGGCAGCCTTGATGCTAATTTTCCTCCTTTCCGCTTCTGGGCACGAAGATCATTATACCGCCGATTACAGTGAACACTGGTGTTTTTGTTCCCTATTCTGTTCTCACTCACTTTGTCAAGTCGTCAAATTCCAATCAAAATCAGTTTCTTGAACATGTGTCAGTCAAATTGCGGGCTTTGGTTTTTCTGCCTGCTGAGGCTTGGTGTGCAGAAGTTCGCAGCCCTCACTTCCGTTTGTGTGTCCACCTCCTCTTTGGCGTGTTTGTGATCTTCATTTCTTTTGGCCTCCTAGAAGCAGCAAGACCTGGCCTTCAACAAAAAGTGGAAGTCGGAAAGGCATAGCACTGGAAAGGCACTGTGCCATGGATTTCATGATGGCGATGGAGAGAGTAGGTGCCTTGTTTGGAAAAATCACGACCATGAATGCAATGAGGCCTTTTGGGGACCGCCATCGTTGGCATCATGGGCTCAACCATTGCCTTGGTGCCGAGACTCTTCCCGCCATCCTCCCGGGCCGCACTTCCAGTGACTTGAAACACAGTGGATCACTCCGATTCGCTCCCCTGTTCTTGTTGAACTGGTTGCCAGCTCTACCCACATCCGCTGCCGTCGGCAGATTCGATTCATCATCATTGTGCAACCAATTGAGATAATTGAGGGTTTTGACTTCCTATCTATATCCATGGATTACTTCGCTTGGCCTGCCTTCCTCTTTGAAACCTTGTTGAAGTTGTCAATATGCATAAATTATCATAAATTTGTAAATCAATAAACATGCCCTGTTGGCCTGTTGGCACTGCAAGAAATCTTCAACGTACCCAAGGTGATATGGGCACTGGCCATCGCAACTGGGTCGTCATGGACGTGGGCTTAAAACTTCTTTGTGAAAACGCCCGAGCCGTCAGTCTGGGAAAAACAATATAGACCGGTATAGATAGGGAAACTTTAGGCAAGCAGCAGACCGGGAAACTTTTGCACAAAAAAAGCGGAGAGGAGTCTGAGCTTACCAGTCAATTCAATTGCTTGTGGTAGGCGGGTCTTAGAGCTATATTTTCAACATTGTTTCCACAATTTACTTTGAATTTCTCACTTGAAGACTTGGAACTTAAGTTTGCAGACGATGCTCTAGTGGGTTTTGAAGCAGTTTCCGGTGCTTTTGCCCGAAGCTCTTTTTGCGGTGTCATCAGATTTGGCAGCTAGCAATGACAGCCTTTTAAAACCAGCGACTAGTAACAAGGGCATTACTACTAGTATCTAGAAGCTGCTAGTAGCTATTTCCTGCTGGTAGTAATGCCCTTGTTACTAATAGCGATGTACTTGTTACTAGCAGCTTCTTCGGGAGCTCGCAGCAGCTAGAGGCATGACAGCCTCTTCGGAGCAGCAACTCAGCACGCTGCGCCGCTGAGGTATGCATGCAGCTGGTATCGTTTTTCCTGGGGCAGCATCCGCACAAAGTGTGGCCAAGCGGCATATTGATTGTACAGATAGCTCTGTAATGCTCTGGAAGCTTTTCCCGGCTAGAGCTCAGCTGCTCAGGCCTGGATGGAACTATGGCCAGGGCATCAAGTATTGGTCCACTCTTGAAGAGATGGTTTGTGGGACGAAGCTGGAGCAACCACAGCCAAATTCCCAAGTTTGCGCCCTGCCTGGATTGAGTATGATGTACATTCAAGCACATTACAGTACAATCGTTGTGTCCGCGGGCTGATAAGCAACATATATATATATATAACTATGTGTAAATTCCTTTGATTGAATCCTGAATCCCAATGGCTTCGGAACACGTCATTGAATCATTGCAGAAGCACGGACTCGCCAACTCCGATGTTTTCCAAATTGGCTTGATAAGTCTTGATGACGCTTGCTGCGATGTACAGTAAATGTTGCTCATATTCTCAATGAAATGTTATGAGAATTCACGATAATTGTCATAGCCCAGAGTTCCGAATTGGAGCGGCCACAGCAGTCTCTCAGTGTGTCTCAAGGCTTCATCTCCAAGCCCTTCCTGAGCCTTGAGAGAAAGTTGGGGAGACCCAAGCAGGAGATTTCCGCATGGCCACATTGTATTTTTAGATATTAATGTAATTACAGGGTCTAGTCTGGCCCAGCTCAGAGGCAAGCGAAAGATACAACCTGTTGTGTATTTGGTGTTGGCTCTGTGCAAGTGGTCACGTGTCAAACAGGGTAGCACACAACAGTGGGCCCCTTCACAACGGTCACCGACTTTTAGATTTCATTCGATGAACCCCAGTGAGTGAAATCGAGCCGTATGAGACAGCATCACCGTTGCAAGTTGCTCAGTGCCATTGCTGCAAGCACTGTCCGTGAATCCAAGGACGTCAGGCTTGGCGCCATGGTTTGTACCTTCGACTGACATGGTTGACAGAGGTCATTCTAATTAGCTCGTGTGTGTGTGTGTGTCTTAACGTTTTCTTGTTGGGGTTTAGCTAATCAACAGTGAGACACACGTGCAACTCCTGCAGTGAATTGCGCACCATACTGGGTGAGGTATTTCGCTTCATGGCCCTGAAATTCATTTCTTTAGCAGCCGAGTCTTGGCAGTGTCCAACCTAGGATTAGGTGGACAGGAAGCACAAAAAAGCCCAGTTAGCAGGTAGCATAGTGAAAACGACCAAAGTCGAAGCTCCCCATTGCGCTGTGCATTGTAGTGCATTGTACCACTGCATTTTGAGTGTAAGAACGTAAGAGATGAACAATTGCTGCTAGCCATTCAATCTATGGGTGTTATGGTGTTATTGCTTCCTCATTGCACAGTTTCCAACAAAATACCCTAAGAAATAGATTGCAGGAAATCGTGTATATAATATTGTATAATGCACCAGAAAGAAGAAACCATGCAATCCATCCATCCCTTTCATTTCTATAAGTGATCCATTGGCGGGATGGACCGACATGAAGGTGCCATCAGAATCCATTCCTCCTATCAAATGGCATCCTTGTGGACATCACCAGTAATCTTGAATGTTTAACTTGTTGGTGATGGTAGGTGCAGCATTACTGAATATGTTTGGCAACCTCGACAGCGCACAACTATGCATTTAGTACCGCTGAAGGGCCCGCTCATTCCTTGACCTCGAGCACTCACTGTGAGGATACACTATGGTTTTATGAGGCCAAGCCCGAGCGGGCCGGCATCGAGTCCAAATCTGATTTGGTTCAAAGAACTGAGCGGCACTTAACTGAGCCTGCAGAGCCCGATCAAGAGGCATTGACGGGAACTTCGACGAACTTCTACAGTCCGAAGCCACTTGCCCTTAAAATCTGCAAGTGTTCCTTGCTTCGTTAATTACGTGGCACGTGCCCCATGTTGTAAAAGTGACTGCAGTGCTGCGCATGTATGCTGTTTGTTGACCTACTCTAAGGTACTACCTTGCATATTTGGGCTACCCTCCACTCTTTTTTGCAGGTCCAATCCTGTCGTACAACGCTTTCGTCTCCCAGCTTGAGCGGCCAATTCTATCATACACGGCAGGCATGTCACCTGATGAGCAGCTCGTGCGCAGGCTATTGGCTTTCTATATACTGTAATTGGGCTTGCAAATAGCATGTGAACGTAGCTTTGTCTCGAATGGCTGTGTGAGGCAAGCGAAGAAAGCGAGGCAGGCTGTGGTGTTCTACTGCATTCGGCTCCTCCTTCTGATGATATTCATCGAATTTTTCACAGTTTATTGGTGGTACAGCCAGAAGCTTCACCAGCTCACTTGCACAAGTCAAGATGAATACCAGAGATGTCTATTTGATGATTTGTCACCATGGGAGCTATACATCGCAATGCATGTGGTCTTGCACTTCACTTGGTTGTCCTTGATGATTATTTGGCGATTTGGTCGATTTCTCGCTCTAGCGGACGGCATCGACTCTTTCGAGAATATGCTGGAGTGCGTGTCCTTGAACTATACCTTCGTCGAATTCTGGAGAATATGGCATGCATCCATGAACGAGTTTATGCTAAGGAATCCTGTCAAAATATGGATGTTTCTTTTGTTTGACACGCTGCCGGCAAGGGCGATGGCATGTCAATCCCACCAGGTTTCGGTTCCAATTCTCATGACACGCGTTCCTGCATGCAATTGCTGCTACAGCCTGAACATGGTTTTATATGGTTTTATGATGTTTGATGTTTTTGGAGGTTTGGCAGAAACTGCCAAGGTATCTTTATTGGCCATTGGGAGGCAAACATAGATCTTGGCTTGCTGTCCCTGTCGTGTTCCTTTTCGTGGGCTTCTGGCATGAGCGCACAGGATGGCGGGTGCAGTGCAATGTATGCATAATGTGATGCACAGTGGCAATGGGTATAGAACCCTTTTTGGTTTCTTCAACACCAGTGAACTGCGCAGCGGTAGATATGTAGTGGCTGGATGCAACTGGAGGATTGGGGACTCAACCTGGCTGGTATGCATGGGCATTGATGAATGCGGCTGGTGTTGCTTGACAAGAAGAATTCTTTAGCCAATGCATGTGGAGTTTTTTGTGATTGTGCAAGCAGCTACCGCTGTAGTGCAAACATGATTCCAAATGTAATTGTTGCTGTACATATGAGTCAGAGTCATAGTTATAGTCCATAGTCTTGTACAAGAGCACAACTCAACTGCTGAACACTGTGGTGACTTGGATAGCCAGAATGACACCTCACGGTAGGGGCGAAGAGTTAATGTACCGTTGTGTACAGTACTTGAACGACTTAAATGTATCCAGCTATTTCTGTTGCAATCACCTTAAGATCGAATTCCTAAACGTGAGTGAAGGGGAGCTCCTGTTTGATTTGCTGCTGAACTCACATTGTTTGAGGTGGTCATTAACAAAGTCATTGAAGAGAGCTTGAACAAATATCGGCCACTTGCCAGTTGAAGTGTGCCCAGATTTGCGCTGGAAGCAAGATGGCTTTTGTACGACTGCGTGTGCTAGTGATTAGTTGGAACAGGACAAGAGCATTCACACCAGCCGGCCCGACCGCCAAAATGTAGCAATCGTATTGTATGACTCACTAACGGTTTGTTTCAGACAGGATTATTGTAATTGACGTTGAGGACAACTGGACAGATTCCCACACAGCCACCCGGCCGCTGGATTGTGACTGGTTTGCATCCAGACAGCCAAGCTTTTTCATGCCTTTTTCAACAAAGTCGTGGAGCTCAGTATCCAAGCCGAAGCATGCCCTGTTTTTTTTCCCTTGGAATGTGAGCTTTGACCTGCTTCATCCAGTAACGTTCAACTCTGTCAAGGCGACTTTGGAGATGAGCCGTTTGAGTGATCGGCCGCACCGGTGGGTGGCACAGGTCATTTTCTTCTTGGGCAAAGGCCCCGTCATGCGGAACTGGACAAGTTGCGGATAATATAAATATATAGATATGAGATTCACCAGAAGATCCAAAAAGTAAATCCAGGTGCACAAACTTTCTATTATTGAGTGTATGAAATTATTCAGATGCTCCTTTTGATGACTCCCAGCCAGCTTTCACCGGTTGAAGACTGCAGCTGTCTTGCTGGCAGCAATCTATGGTTTGTATATATATATATATTATGTATATATATATGCAGTTTCCCTGACTGGTCGGTTCAAATGGTTAAGCCCTCCAGACACTTCGACATCGGCCAAGTGGCTTCATGAACGTCAGGCATCGGGCCTGTGGCGTTAATCCTGGTGAAGCATGGCTCCAGTCTCGAACATGTCATTAGATGGATGGCACTCATGGCTTTGGGTGATTCATGTTCCCAACTGCCAGCCGCTAGCCTGAGGAATGCACCTGCCATTTTTCTGTCAAGCTCTTTGCGATTCTACAGGAGCTTGCTGCTTGGAGCATATAGTAATTTGCCAATAAGCTCACGACATGAATTTGTGGACACAGGCCAGGCACCTTCGCTACCTGATACGCTACCCAAATTATATGAGACACGTCCACACGTCACACGTTGCACACTTGCCGTGCTAGATGCAAGCATAGATGAGTCATGACAAGTCAGAAGCAGCTAGGATGAACGGCATCCTTGCAAGCCTTGCGTTTGGCATTTAGCCTCATGTGGCAATCGAAACAATAGAAAGATTATAATTATATACGCATGTTATATAAATGTTGGCCAGGTTGTTTCGGGGCTGGGAATCTGCTACACTGCTTCTTACATTGGTTTTCACCTTTGCCTGTGACTTGGCCGACGGTTGAAGGCTGGGAGTCAAATCTTGAAGTGGGCGATTGTAGAGTGAAAGATAGGGAAAGGGAGGGAGTCAAAGTCAAAGAAATCAGATGTCTCGCCTGATAAGGCAATGCCCAGCTTGTCGATGCTCTTCGTGCTCCCAAGTCTTCGAGGCGTGAGCCAGCCATGCAATGAGCTGGGGAGAGAGGGTTGCCCTGAGCTCCCCCATCTTGTCGAAAGACCCTGGTCCCTGTCAACATGAGAGGTTGGGGCGTTTGATTCCCAGCCTCTTCATGTGCGGCCCTGAATTCCAAGAGTCGCAGTACCATTAAGTGGATGAAGCTCGGATTGAGCACTTCCATGACTTCTGCAGCAGCTGGTGCAAAACGCATCCTTTTGCGTAAGAAGTCTTGCTTTAAGTCCAAAAATTGTGGCTGACGGACAGCCAGGGCTGGAGCACCAGCTCCAGAGCAGCATTGTGGACGTCCCCCATGGCTTTCCACAGTTTGCCTTTTCATGTTTTGCTGTCAAGGGCTCTCAGTTAGTAAGCACATGTAAGCACAACATTTGGAGAGAAACTGAACACTAGTCGCTAGCAGAAAGACTGTTGAATGTCCAGAATGTGGCCACTAGCTTTGTGTTTGAGGTTCATTTGTGATCCTTGCAACCTACGAGTCTGCAGACCTGGCTCTTTGGGATGTGCCTCGCAGCTGCATGGTGGCCAACCTCCATGAATTTCACAATGGGCAACCTTTGCGGACTGCAACCGGAATCCAATGGCCTCCAACTGGACTCCAACCTATAATAGCGATGGCCTCCAACCAAATGGCAAAGCCTCCCAGAAACTGCATTAGATTGGGCGGTCATGTGAATGCAGTCTCGCATGTTGCTTTTGATGTTGTTGTTGGTGTGTGTGTGTGTGTCAACCCCTGTTTCAAAGGGTTCTGAGTCTTGACTTCAGGCAGGGGGTGCAAGCAGCCCATCCAGTCTTGCACCAACGAAGACACTGGATGTGTGCTGGTGATATCGATTTGGGACGCCAAATCGACGTACCTGCGACTAACGTGTGCACAAGCTGTGACTCTACTGTTCTCGGTTTGATTCATAGTTCGTTCATGATACTTTCCCCCAAACTCTTTTCCCTCCGCCACTTCCAGCCACTGAGACGCCGTGAGATGCTGTCGCGAGTTCTGCAGAGGCGCATAAACCACTTGTTCAAACATCTTCAACTGCTCCGACCTTTTCACCTTTCAGTTCCATCATCTTTTTTCCTGGTGCGAAAAAGGTAGCAGCGGCACCCGAAGTCCGCAAACACGAGAACAAGAGGGCGCACTGAAGCGCCGCGGCCGCGCCTTTTGCAAGGCAACTGCCCTCCCAGTCTTGAGAGGGAACGACGGTAAGTGAAGGTCGAAAACAGTTCGAACTGCCGAAACACAAGTGCACAGCGTGAACTTTACATGGGGGAGAGTCCTTCGTCATCACCCCAGTTCCGCTGTTCGAACCGGTCCAGCCATTGGTAGACCAAGGTCCGCACAGATGAGCCTGACCGATCATCGACAAGGTCAGGTGGAATCACCCTCAAACTACAAAGGCGGCAGAAATCTACTCGCCGCTGCAGGCTTTCATCTCTTCCGGCCAGGCTTGAACAGTTCAAGGTCGTGTGCCATCTGGCGCCATGCCGGCTGATGATCATGCCATTGTAGAAGGGGCATTCATTTCCATGCTCATCCATCTGCCTCAGGGCGATCTTCAGGATCTGGGAGGCTTCCTGTGCAAGGGTCTCAGCAGCATTCTGGTTTCTCAGAACCAGATTCATCGCTGTCGTGGCTTCGACAGCAGCAAGGCGGGACTCCTCGGCTTTGGAACTCCAGCGCAGGACTTCCTGCTTCAGGCGTTTGACTTCTTCTTTAAGGCGAGCTGGGATGATCGCTTCATCCTTTTGGACTGCAGTCTCAGTGACCTGGGGTGGTACTCGGTGGTGTGCATCATGGCTCCATCGACCAACCATGAAGGCTGTGCTCAAAAAAAGTAGAAGGAGGGTGCACAAAACAGTTCCAAACCAATCCATTCCAGCTTCAGGTTCCACATTGGCCGAATCGGCCGTGACCAGCTGCGGGGCCATGAACAAAAGCAAAAACCAAAACATGAAATTCGTCTTACGACCGCGGTAGGACTCGAGCGGGCGGCTTCCGACATGGCTCGGACTGTCGGAGACATACTCAAGCTTCCGGTCGGTCCTGGCAAACATGACATTCACAGGAACCTTGGAATTCCGAAAAATCTCTTCATTCCAAAACACCTGCTCATCGACATTCACGTCATTCTCCGCAGGATTCTCGTCGATGGGCTGCTGGTGCTCCTCGTGGAAGTTGGGTTCCTCATTGATCACATGTGGTGGTACCACATGGATGCTTTCGGGTTCCTCATTGATCACATGTGGTGGTACCACATGGATGCTTTCAGGTTCCTCATTGATCACATGTGGTGGTACCACATGGATGCTTTCAGCAAGACTCTGTTGGAGCTCAGCTTTTGTCTTCTTCTTGGCAGCTTTGTATGAGGGGTCCCAAACAAGCTTCAAACGACCGTGACGTAGCCGTTGTGCAAGAAGTGCTCTGGCCGACTCTTTTGTCAAACCGTCAGCCAGTTGGCGCTCCGATGACATCCACCTCAAAGAACCGCCCAGTGAAGACAGGCGATCCTTCATCACACGGATCTCAAGCGAAACTCGCTTGTCAACCACAGAGCTTCCGACTCCTTCTCGGTGATAGGAGTCGTAAAGGGCTTTGGCGTCCGTGATCATGGTGGGCGACAACAAGGATGGAGCGTCCAAGAGCTCTTGGAGTCGCTGGCGAGGGTCAACCAACAAGCTCCAGTAGATGCTGGCACGCTCCAAGGCATCGCAAGCTTGACCACCGCTTTGTGCTTCGGCGCCCAAGGAAGAGCGCGCAACTCTTGGCGTTTTCAAACTGCGCCAATCCAACACGTGGTAGGCTCCTTCGGGACCATTGGCCTGAAGCAAAGCTTTGTTGACCATCAGGATCACATAGCCAGCTTGTGAGGCTCCGTCACTGCGGGTGGCAAAGGCAGCATCAAAAAAACATACCAAACAAAGTTCTGAAACTTCGCCCAGGTGGCTGTACTGTAGGCCAACATCAGCATTTTCTTTTGCAAAACGCAGCAGGCGATTTGTGTCGGCCACTGTCTGAAGCGTGGCCTTGGTGACATGACCGCTCAGGGTCGAGGTGCTGCTCTGCAAGTGAGGACTGCTTTGAACTGCGGGCCATTGAAGTGAACCAAGAAGTCCTCTCAGCTGTGTCAACTCACGCTGATTGAGCGCATCGGTGAGGCTGCGCTTCTTGTCGTAGGTGATCGGTTTCACCTTTCCCATGTAGCTGGTCTGGTTGAGGAGGAGACCATCATCCTTGACCTGAATGTCACAACCACAATAGGTCAAGGGCTTTCCATCATCACCAGTTTTCCATTCACGGAAGTTGAAGGTGCTCTTCAGCTTGGTGATGGTGTCGTTGTAGCACTGGGAGGATGACGAACCGCAACCAAGCATGTCATCGACGTGCATGATGACCATACCACATAGGCCATGAGGTCCAAGCAGGTTGGAGTGCTCAGCTGTGGTGTCATACTCAGGGTTGAGGTCACCTTCATAGATCAAGAAGCAGCAAGGGTCTTGAGGATGCTGTCGGAGGCCCATAGCGCTCAGCTTATCAACTGCAGCCATGAACCAAGATCTCGGGGCATCGATCTGGCCGTAGCAGGGCTTGAGAAGCAACATACGGGTGTCAGCTGTAGCCCCAAGCAACTGCAAACACTCTTGAGGAAGCTGCACCCACAACTTGCGTGTCTGAGGTCGACCCTGCAGGAAGGCGGTTGCTATGTCTGAAGTCCAGATTGGCCACTGCATGGTGGAGGCCAAACTCAACAACATGGATCTCGACAGCCTCGTGGTTGTGGGCGATGAGGTTGGAACAGTTCCTTCCCAAGCGTCTGGGTCCATGAAGCCTCTGACAATGAGCCTGGCTTTGGCACGGGGGCTGCCATCAGGATTCTTTGACCACTTCAGCAGCATGCGACTGGTCAGCGTCCGACTGGGCTCAGCTTCTCTGGTGGTCTCGAACTGCCAGACGTGGTTGTCAAAGAAGGATTGCAACTCTTTGACCTTTGCAGCTTTGAAGGCTGCTCGCTCATCAGGAGTCATGTGGCGCTCCGAGAGGTTGTTCTTGTTCTTGTCTTTCTTGAAGCTTTTGGCGTGCCGGAGTTTGGTCTCCTTGCCAAGCTGTCGTGCTCCTTGAAGTGGGGCCTTAGCGAACATGGCCATCTCTCGACGAAGGTCGCCTTTGATCTGGAAGATCGTGACTCCAGTCCATGAGCGATCCAAGGGAGTGGAAGCCGTGTAGCCATCGTCGGTCTGTTGGATGCTTTTGCCGTTGTTGTCATACATAATGGTCACCCGAACCAGATCAAGCTGATCTGAGGTGAAGGGGCTGTCTTTTGGCAATTGGTGCAGGCACATCTTGGATCGTCGAGGGATCACATGGTGTCTGATCAAACATCCGGCTTTGACTTCCCAGAAGTCGCGGTCTCTCTTGTCGAGCTGGAAGTAGCCATTCTCATAGGTCCAACCTTTTGGCAGGCAGTTGGCTTCAATGCCGGAGACTTGGAAGGCATGATTCAGCAAGGCGTGATCAGGTGCCTTCTGACTTGCATAGAGAGCAGGATCATCCGAAGCAGCTGGAGCTGCCGATACTTGGGCTGGCGCTTCTGCGGCTGCCGCTGTTGCTTGTGTGTTGTGCTCTGCACTGTTGTGTTCTGCTTCTGGTGTTGTTGTTTGTGACGTCGTGTTGTATGGCTGTGGTGACCCAATGCGCTGTCTTCGCAGGGGGCCAAAACTAAGTGTCTCCTGTCTGTTGAAGCGAACTCGTCGTTGTTGAAAGGTTTCAGCATCGACTGGTTCATACAATGCTGCAGTGTCAGGGTCCAGTGAAGGCCCTGACATTGATGCTTGAGGTGCTGTTGCAATAGCCGGTGGTGATGCAGCATGTGGTGTGGGTGCTGCAGATGATATGGTTGGCTCTTCGCTGGGTTCGACCACAGTAGGAGCCCGTGAGCGGGACCTAGTGGTGGCTGGTGAACCTGGTACAGTGATCTCGGCTGGGGCCATGGGCAGCAACATGTTT